CTATCAGTGCCCTCACAGAGAGTAGTAGTAAAAAAACAAAACAAAACTGAAAGGAAGTCTGGAGACTGGTTTTCAGGCTGTAGGGAAGGAGACTATTCTACTAGGCAGCCAGGACACAAGATAAGTGGGTGGTGGGAAGGTGATAAGAAGGAAAGGAAAGCAGGCTGGGACTCAGGGGTCTGAAAGGAAAGAAAAGAGCATAGAAGTGAGTTTAGGTCTGGGCTCAGCAGCAGGGAAGTTTGAACTTCATAAACTTATGGAATCAAGTGTCTGGACAGAACTCTGGCCATATGTTGACTTCATGAAGTTGTGTCCTCCCTAGTTTTATAATCTCTTGGCTGTATGGGCTTGGCCAGAGCTGTTTAAGGGATGAACTTGGGCTCAGGCTATAAGCACTGAAGTCCAGCTGGGATCTCTTAAAACTAGGCTCTCTGCTGTGAGGGATGAGGTGCTGAAGACCTGACTCCCTCTTATCCTTCAATCAATAATTCACACCTTGGGAGCAAGTCCACCTCCCACTTCTCACCTGCCACAAGAGTTCCATTGCTCTCCCCACCCACCCCCAATTCCAACTCCATGCACCATACCTGAGCAGTGGGGGAGGGAGCCAGTCCAGTGTCCATCCAGCCCACACACGCGGGTAGCATTTCCCACCAGTGTCCGCTTGCCAGTGCAACTGTAACGTACGACAGCCCCCACAGCGTAGCTGTCTCCGGACATCTGGGCATGGGGCGGGGAGCCTGGATGGCCACAGGACACCACTGTGGGGAAGAGAAAACATCTCAGCAACTCTGCACAGGGGTGGAGAGTCATCACAGAACACATGTTAAAGTGTTTTGTAGTGGGAGGCAGGGAAGAAGAGAAAACCTCAGGTATCTACTGAAGCAAACTTCCTGCTCATACACCAACCTGGCATTGGCAACCACATCTACCCACCTGACTGTACAGTTTCCATATCTGCCAAGTGAAGCATAATACTTGCTGTTTTAAGAGTTGAATGAGATAAATGCCCAGCACATTGTAGGAACACAACAACACTAGTTTCATTTCCTTCTTGCTTTTTGTGCTTTCAGTAATTAATTTAAGTACAGTTTAGCACCTCTGCTAATAGCCAATTGGAAAAAGAAGAGACCACTGGCTTTCTGGAATATAGATTATCAGCAACTATTGAGCTATAGGGTCGCTATGAGTCAGAATCAACTGAATGGCAATGGTTTTCATTTGTTTTTTGTTTATTGAGCATTAATCATTTTTCGGGGAGATAATAGCTAGCCCAGTTTTAGACACTGGTCTGTACCCGAGGAAGAGCCTCATTCATGGTTCCCGCTGACTAAGGTAAGTCAAATATAAGATCACAATCTAAACATGATAAAACATGAGAAACAAGTCACCATGAGTGAGAATCAGCAGAAACGACAATAGCAGAATTAGACTCATAAAGACTATGATATTGGGAATTATCAGATACAGAATACATAGTAAATATATTTAATATATTAAGGGTATAAAAGGAACACATTTACAGAGAAATAATACACTATAAAGATAATTAAGCAAATTTGAAAAAAGAAAGACTTCTCAAATGTAAAATAAATAATAGAAGATACAAACTCAGGAACAGGTTAAACGTCAGCTTAGACATAGCTAAACACACAATTAGTGAACAGCAAGACAGATTTGAAGAAATTTATCAGAGATGGAAAATATGAAAGAAAGATTCAGATACATGGAGAATAGTATGAGATGGCCTAAGTTGGAGTTCCAGAAACAGTGAAGGGAGAATGAGGGAGAGGGAATATTTACAGAGATAACAGCTGAGAATTTTCCAGATTTCAAACAATCCAGGAAGCCTAATGAATCTCAAGAAGGATTAAAAAAAAAAAACCTAAATCTAAACATGGTGTAGGAAAATTCAGAATTCCTGTAATAAAGAGAGGATTTTTAGGCGGTGAGGCAGGAAAAAATAACCAGATTAACTAAAAGGTATGATAATTAGACTGAAAGCACACAAGTCATTAATAATGAAAGTCTAATAATAAAAGCCGGGAGATAGTGCCAGGAGAAAATAAGTGTCAATCAATACTTCTGTATCCAGCTAAATTTTCATTTAAGAACCAGAGAAAATGCGAAATACCAAAGACAGAGAAAAATTATTTTCGAAGGAGTGAAAGAGTGACAGCTGACTTCTCAATAGCAACAAAAGTGGTCAGAAGATAGTACAATGATTTCTTTAATGGGCTGAAAGAAAATAACTGCCA